TTGATAAAAATTTGCGTGGTATCCATTTGGCCCCGGAGCCTTAAATGCAGCCATATCGAACAGAGCTTGTTTGATCTCTAATGGTGAGAAAAACCTGTTTACTAGATCCCAATCTGAGTTAAGGAGAGAAGGAAAAGAACTAAACCTGCTGGGGGTGCCAAATCAGTTTTGTCATTTGTAAATAATAAGACAAAGTGATTGAATATGTGGCTCCTAATCAAATCATCATCCAGTAACCAAATCCCTTGATCATTTTTAAGTCTATTGATTTTGGAACCCGCCTTTTTTGCAGCTGTAGCAGCGTGATAAAACCTCGTATTGCGATTGCCCGACGTAATCTAATCCAATCCTCGCGGGACTTTTGGAACCACAACATTTCTTCTTGAAACCGAATCTCTTCTAGTTCATTTTGCAATTTTCTGTCAAGCTTAATGAGGTTTGATCTAAACTTGATGGCTAAGCTACGCTGCACTCCTTCTAATGTTGCCAAAACACGTTTTTTACGATGGAAAATGTTCCCGAAGGTGCTCCTATTCCAGTCCTGAAGTTTAGAAGCCAGCATGTCCTTATTTTGTCCCAGATCATCTTCCTTAATCCAATTTTCGCCAACAAACTGTAAGAAATTAGGATGAGAAGCCCACACTGTGTTGTATCTAAACTTCTTCAGTTTAACATGTGGTTTTGAAGGCCTAGTACGTATGAGCAAAAGAGCATGATCCGAACTTGCTATGGGTAAATAAATAACCTCTGCATCCGGGAATTGTATTCTCCAATCAACGTTACTGCATGATCCAAGCGGGCGGCTTTGAATGATGACGAATTAAGTCCTCTACACCAAGTGAATTTGGGTCCTGAGTAACCAAGATCGATCATGTAACACCCCACTTTTCTAACTCTTAATTACAACTCTAAACAGTCATTAACATCACTAAGCAGCGGAAAAACTAAAAGATAATTAGTGGGAGTGTCACCGCCACAACCACCACTCCGTGGTGATCGCACATGCTAAAGGGGTAAAACTAGAAATAAAGTAAAAGTTTGGCATCCATCATAAAACTAAAAACATAAGGGGGAAATACTTCACCCCATATAGTCTACAACATCCTCAAAACATAATGTCAATAAGTCTAAAATCCATACATAAACATTAGTGAAACTAGAGTTTAGATATCTCTATCTACGAGACTAATCTAACTCGACTTCTTCACACTGCTGGGCCCACCTAAAAGGGGTTTTGCAAGCAACACATAGACAAATAGGAAAACACCTGTTAGCACGAAGCTAAGTATAACCACACTCAACCCTGTAAAGCATTCTAGCATATACTTTGAAAACATTTGATTTCTTTATCAACAATAAGCTCATCTCAAATCATCTTTAGATTTATCACACTCTTTCTAGATGCTTGCACCCTATAATATCAGCTGGAATGCTCATATATGTGTGAGACTGTTGACATAGATTCATCAACATATAAGCTTCTCAAATAACTTATCAAGCAATTCATGCTTACAGATAGGATCATGCAAATATACTCATGCTCGTATGCAATTTCGTGCAACATTATAATCATACTCTTATGCAATCTAGTGCAATAATATACTCATGCTCGTATGCAATCTCGTGCAACATTATAATCATACTCTTATGCAATCTAGTGCAATAATATACTCATGCTCGTATGCAATCTCGTGCAACATTATAATCATACTCTTATGCAATCTAGTGCAATAATATACTCATGCTCGTATGCAAACTCATGCAACATTATATATATCTATATATATATATATATATATATATATATATATATATATATATATATATATATATATATATATATATAAAACTCACCTCCAGAAATTTTTTATTATGGAGAACACAACTTATACCCTTTCTTAGAGGCCAAGATTTGATTGGCTTTGTGGACGGAACCACCCCGTTTCCAGTAGCGACTCTCACCACAGTCTCAGGCGACTCCGGTACTGGCGCAACCACCTCGACGACGACCCCCAACCCAGCCTACAAAACATGAATACTCCAGGATCAGTCGATCCTATCTCTACTAATTTCCTCGATGTCCGACGAGGTCCTGCATCTCGCGGTTGGCCGGAATACCGCCGCCGACGTCTGGAACTCCATGTGCACCGCGCTCGACTCCAACACGCAGGCACACTGCTTGAGTCTACTAGGCCAATTCCAGGCACTCCGGCAAGGAAACGCAACGCCGGGTGACTACCTTGGAAGGGCAGAACTCTTGGTTGAGGCACTTGCGCAGGCCGGGCAGCCGTTATCCATGGCGGAACAGAACCTCTACGTTCTGCGAGGACTGCAACCGGAGTACCGGGCATATGCCGCTTCCCTCACTACCCATGCACCGGTGTCACTGCCGCATCTCGCCGATCACCTGCAAGCTGCTGATTTTATTCTAGCGGATGATTTCCCGGACGGCGGCAGTACTAGTTCGCCCTCAGCCGAGGCAGTGGTGGACGGCATTTCAGTGGTCATCACAATGGTGGTGACGTAGGTCGGCAGTCGCAGGGGCGTGGCGGACGTGGTGGTAGAAATCACCGCGGTGGCCGGAATCAGCAGGGTACACCGCGTTGTCAGATTTGCAGGTCGCAGGGACATACTGCGGTCTACTGTTATAAACACTACACAACCCAACCACCCACCCAAGCCCATGTTGCCGTGTCCAGTGAATCCCCGGGCACACCCGTACCACCGGCTGACACGGGCGCCACGGCTCATGCCACTCCCGATGCCAGCATGATAACATCCGCGGATGAGTATAATGGCCCGGATACGCTCCGGGTGGGAAATGGTACAGGTTTAGTAATCTCACGGGTTGTCCATGCATCGATCCCCTCCTTGTCAAAACAATTGTTTCTATCTAATGTGCTACATGTCCCGAAATTAACTGTTCCCTTATTGTCTGTACAAAAATTCACTAAAGAAAATGGTGTGTTTTTTGAATTTCATGACAGTTGTTTCATTGTGAAGGATTCCAAAACCAAGGCGGTGTTTCTTAAAGGCCCGACTTCTGGAGGTCTATACAAGCTACCTGTGTCCAGGAGTCATTTTGCGTTCGTCAGTTCTCGTGCAACGCCCGCAATTTGGCATCGCAGGCTCGGTCATCCACATAGTTTTGTTCAAAATAAAATTCTGCAGCATTGTTCAGTCACTCAGAATAAAACTAGTTTTGGGTCATGTACGGCTTGCCACCTCGGCATGTCCTCTCGTTTTCAATTAGATAGAATAAAAGATTCTAGCAACAATGTACTAGATCTATTGTATACGGATATCTGGGGGCCTGCACCAGTTATCTCGTCTAGTGAGTTTCGTTACTTTCTTCTATTTGTTGATGATCATTCCCGTTATTACTGGTTTTATCCATAAAGTGTAAAATCAGGCATCTATAAAATATTTGATGTGTTTCGTGTGTTGGTAGGGCGACAATTTTCGCGCTCTATCAAGTCTATACAGTCAGATCTAGGGGTGAGTACCGCAAACTTCATACCACCTTTCAATCCCTTGGAATTAATCACCGTCAATCATGTGCTTACACGCATGAGCAAAATGGAAAAGTTGAGCGTCGTAACAGACATATTGTCGAAACGGGCTTGGCTCTTCTCGCTCAAAGTGCTGTCCCACAACAATATTGGGATCATGCTTTCGAAACAGCTACGTGTCTAATCAACTATCTACCCTCCTCAGCACTAAACTTTGAAAGTCCATATCACCGTCTTCATAAAAAGTTACCACCATACCAGTTTCTACGTGTCTTCGGGTGCTTTTGTTACCCTTATCTAAGGCCTTATCTACGTGTCTTGGGGTACCCTCCGTCTTTTCGAGGGTACAGATGCATGGACTTAACTACTGGGAAGACTTATATCTGTCGCCATGTGCGGTTTGACGAGTCTATTTTTCCCTTTGCCACAGGTACATCACCACGCGCTGTTGAGCCTCAGCCTGTGCCTTGGGCAGCTGGCCCCGTCGTACCAGTTTATAGTGAACCTGCAGTTCACCCTATCTCTACTGTATCACACGACTCTGATCCCCAGCCAATAACTTAAGATGTGCCACAACTGGCCATTGAGCCCGCTGTCCCGGCCTCTCGGGGGCAGGGTCGGCCACGGGGCCAGTGTCGGGGTCGGGCACAACCTCAGGAGCGAGGTCATGTTATGCGTCTCCGCTGTATGACAGAGGGCACTAATGAAGAATTACAAGCTCTAACTGCAGTCACCGCTGATCCAACATGTTATTCTCAAGCTGTTGGCCACCCATAGTGGCGGGATGCTATGGACCAGGAGTTCAATGCTCTACTGCATAACAACACCTAGCGGCTGGTCCCACCTGATCCCACCATGAATATCATCGGGTGTAAGTGGGTGTTTCGCACCAAACGTACTGCAGACGGCTCGGTAGAATGGCATAAAGCTCGCCTTGTAGCGAAAGGTTATAACCAGGTAGCTAGAGAAGACTTCTTCGACACCTTCAGTCCGGTGGTCAAGCCGACCACGGTTCGGCTCCTGTTTTCGTTGGCCATCACCAACAAGTGGACTCTTCGACAGCTAGATGTGCATAATGCCTTTCTTAATGGGCATCTGGCCGAGACAGTCTATATGAAGCAGCCACCAGGATACGAGGACCCGACTCACCCTAATCATGTCTGTCACTTGCAAAGATCTCTTTATGGTCTGAAACAGGCTCCGAGGGCATGGTTCAAGAGGCTACATGACTTCTTTCTTACCATGGGGTTTAATGCATAAAAGACGAACGTTTTTCTCTTCTACTACAATGCAGATGGGTATCAGGTGTTTCTTCTTGTTTACGTCGATGACATAATTATGATGGGGAGCAATGCTACGTTGGTCAACGCTTTGTTAAGCCATCTTGCTACTGCTTTCAAGATCCGGGATCTCGGCAAGCCAGGGTTTTTCTTAGGCATTGAGACAGTAGATACTACAGATGGCGTGGTCTTGTCCTAGCGCCGATATATGTCTGATTTGTTGAATCGAGCTGGTATGGTTGACTGCAAACCACTAGCCACACCTGCATCGACCACACAAGCAGTTACTCCGTCTGATGAACCATTCGATAATCCCACACAGTATCGTCGGATTGTTGGGGCTTTACAGTACCTTACTATTACTCGTCTGGATCTGTGCTACGCAGTGAATCGCTCGTGTCAGTTTATGCATACTCTGACGGTTGAACACTGGGCCATGGTCAAGCGGGTATTACGGTATATCAAAGGCACCTTGGATTATGGGCTCCGTCTCAGCTGCTCTCCTACTGCTTCTATTCACGCCTACTCCAACTCCGACTGGGCTGGTTGTCTGATTGATTGGAAGAGCACTAGCGGGTATGCGGTGTTTTTTCGGACCAATCTCATCTTCTGGCTGTCGCGGAAACAACGGACAGTGGCTCGCTCTTCGACTAAAGCAGAGTATAAAGCCTTAGCTGATGTTGCTGCTGAGGTTACTTGGGTTGTATCTCTCCTCCGTGAGCTTGGTCTACACACTGGGCAGCCTTCTACTCTATGGTGTGATAATTTAGGGGCAACATATCTATGTGCTAATCCAGTTTTTCACGCCAGGACGAAGCATGTTGAAATCAACTACCACTTCGTTCGTGATAAGGTTGCCAGCGGGGAATTTGTGGTCAATTTGGTTTCGACCAAAGATCAGCTAGCCGATGTCTTCACCAAGCCTCTTCCAGGACCCAAGTTTATAGCTCTCCGAGACAAGCTCAACGTTGTGTCTCTAACATCGTGTGCTTGAGGGGGTGTGTGAGTATTAATATTATTTGTATATGTTTATATTTGTATAACCTATGGTTAGTTTTCTATGGTTAGAATAAGTCTACTATCTGTATCCTATTAGATAGGAGTAGTTAGAGGTAGACTGAGATATACTCTCCTGTAACCTTATCGTTGATTATCTTAATCAGATTTGAATTCTCATCTTTATAAATAGAGTACTTTCTATAGAGGTCTCTTTGTTACTTTCTTGAGTCTCTCTCGACTCTCTTTCTTTCTCTTGAGTCTTTATTAACTCTCTTTCTTGAGTCTCTGTTGACTCTCTTTCTTTCTCGATACTCGTAGACGGCTTAGGGTTTCATCGAAGCGTGAATTACCCCAACGGGAACAGCATAAATCCGACCCAATATCTCTTACCATCTACGGAACCAATCTCGTGGTTCAAACTCTGTGGAATCGGGTATCGAACTATTAATGTGCACACCCCCCTAACCAGGATTCCAAGCCTGGCGGGAAGTTTCCAACCACGTAACGTGGGAATATGCCGCGTTACATATACTGGGACCGCAATGTCCATAAATATTTCCCGAGAGGACATAGTCCAAACGGTATCCTCCAAAACCTCACCGATATAGATAATACATAAATATATCTCTCATGCATCAATATCATGCATGCAACAACTCTACTACTTCTCAATGCATCAAAGAATGATATACCACATGCTTATGGTTTTTGAAAGTATTCTTGGGCCCACGTTGGCCCCTTATTCATTTTTGAAATATGACACATGTGAAATATCAAAATGCTCTATAACATGCTTTTAAAACCATGTATAAAATAACATGAAGTACTCAAGAATATAGTATCATGCTTGGTTTGCAACATAGCAAATTCTATACATTTCACTCAACAAATATGCTTCTATTCTCATTGATCAAATAACACAATTTAATCATGCTTTCATAATAAATCATATTCTCAAAGAATCATGCTTCTATACTCAATAACAACATCATCAGATCACATAGTTAAATAATTCTTCATACACAGTAAACTAGCAAATATATACTCTGTGTAACAATTCTTCAATAAAACCTTCATAGCATACTCGTTTCTAATCCAAATTCAACGAAATCAAAGCCAAAACGTGCGTCGAGACAATCCGGAAGAGCCGAGCCACAAGAGCCCATAACACTCGGCTCGAAACGACATGTAGCTGAGCCACAAGGGCCCGGCCACTACACAAAAACCTTCTCAGAACAAACTCAGGGACTTGGGGTGGGACTCCTCATGGTCCGCCCCATGAGCCCCGTTAAACCATCGGGACTAGGCGGCGGCCCTCCTCTAGGGCCGTGCCCTAGTCCCGTGTAACCACGGCTCTAGCCGGCGGCCCTCCGATGGGCCGCGGCTAGGGCCGCTGGTCTGATCTGGTGCACTCTGTGTGTGCACCAGATGCTTTCTCACCTGCAATCTCAATCCAAACAAGTCCAAAACATTCTCAACAACTCACAAATAAATACTAGATCACTTATAAGCATAAACACAACAAAATCTCATAGTTTCTACTCATTTCTACTCAAAAACAAGGCTTCACAGAGCCAAATTTCAAAGAGAAATCCATGGGGTTATACACTTTATAGATTAAAATTTTTTAGTAAAATCTTTCTAGGGATACATAGGATTTCCCAAAATATACGATGCTACTAACTAAGTATTTTTAGGAAAATAATAGAATAACTTCCAAATATCTTTGTGGTCAAATATATATTTCATACATAGTTGTATATGCATATATTCTCAAAATCAAGTATAACATTCCTCAAAACATATATACTCATATATATAATTCTTGAAATAGAGCTTTCTTGAAAAATCATAGCTTTTGGTAGATCAAAATCCTTCTCGACATACTTATGATTTTCTTAGGAAAATACTTTTGTATATAAATACTCCTTTAAGTCCAAATAATATAATAAATACTCCATGATAATTACTCAAAGATTGAAATAGCTCAGGTGGAAGAGGTTTAGATTATTATACAAAAGATCAATGGTTCAAATCTAACCTTAAATAGTTTTCTCGAAGCTAACATAAAAAATGTCAACCCTAGAAATCAATCCCAGGCTTAACCCTCCCATGCCAACACTCCAACCAGTAGCCTACCACGAACCATAGTGATAAATCTTGTCAAGATCGGTCCTTATGGTCGATGACACAAGCGGGCCATTGTGGCGGATCTTGCCTAGATCCGTCCCATGGTCCGTGAACTCCCAGAATGGGTTCTGCAACTCTCTGTTTCCCTTCTCTTAACAACACGGATCATTTCAACAGCAAACAACTTACATTTCATCATTTTAAGCACTCCAAACACATAAATATATACACATTTGAACAACTAAAACACATATCTTAGGGCAAAATATTAGATTTGGGAATCCATGGGTTATACCTTGAGCATCTTTGTTCTAGCCAACACCATTTCTAAGCTATTCTTCTTAGCTTCATCTTCTGCCACCATCTCCAACTCTCAAGCAACCACAACACCCAAATAACACATCTAGCTTAGATAACCTCATCTTAAAAACAAGCAAACAAGGAATATGGAGGAGAAGAGATGAAATCTTACCAAGTCTTGAACATAGGCTTTGCTAGAGGAAGCTCTAAAATGAAGAAGATGATGGGGAGGGAGAGAGACATGAGAGAAATGAGAGAGGTGAGCTGCTGATTCTTTGAGTGAATAGTGCAACAAGGGGGAAATGCTATCTCTTATAGTTAGGGTTTTGGGGGTAGAAATGTAAAATAAACTTGTAGGGTTCACCTTGCATCATGAACCATAGTCTAGAAAGATGATTTTTGAATAACTTGGGGTCAAAATGTATTTTTCCAAAAAGATTTCCAAACATAGACTTGGTTCAGATTTCTCCCGGTCTCACTCAGATTGATTTCTCAATTTAAAACTTGGTACACGAAGTACCCGAAAATTTAGGATTTTAGATTTAAAATAATTTCCGATGTTGAATTTACCTAAAAGTGGCTCAAAATAATTTATTCAACACTGATTTCATCGCAAAAATTTTTACGGAGTGAAAAATGGCTATTTCGAAATTTCTTAAAATTGGATTCATGAAATTAAATTTTGGGTTGTTACAAATCAACCCCTCCTTGGACAGCCAGTCATTGAAGCTTGCACACCGAGAACTAAAAACGTTGGAACCACTTGAGATCTCATCCCTGCACGTGATCGCATTGTAATCGCCCATTGAAAGCCAAGCGCCTTGCAAATTTAACACATCCTGTCAGAGGCTAGAAAACAACTCTTTTCTAAGAGAACAGTCTGGGCTACCGTAGACCACAGACAGCTTCCAAACCTGAGAATCCAAATCAGAAATTTCCAATACAACAATTTGAGGGTGGGTGTGGAGGATATGGACCGAGACGGTGTCCTTCCAAAACACCCATATTCCCCTAGAAAACCCAACAGATTCAACTCTATGCCATTCGTCAAATTCTAATTTAAAGCAAATGTCGTTAGCAGGGATGCCTGAAACCTTATGTTCCAAAAGACATGCAATGACTGGTTTATCGTCCCGGAGGTATTGTTTAAGTGTGCGGCAAAACGTTTGTGACGCCGCACCTTGGCAATTCAAACAAAGAGATTCATCATAACAAAAAGAAGGGGGAGAAAGTGCTCAATTGAGCAAGCGGGAATCCGCAACCAAGCCGAATTGGCTACCACTTCTGCCATCCTCATCCTTTGGAGTGACACAATCAAAGAAATCCGCCCCATCTTCCCTCGGAGTGTTACAAGCATGAGAATTCAACAAAGGTGGAGACATTAATCCCGGATCCTTAGGTCGATGGTTCAATGTGGAAGTGGTAATTGTTCTTCCTCTAGTTGAGCCCCTGACCGCAATGTGAGTATCCTCTGCAGCTGCTCTACGAGGGGTTGCAAGTTTGCCCCCTGTTCCCCTCATGTTGCTGGTCTGTGGAATCACAACTTCCATGGACTGCTCCAAGGGTGGTAGGGGTAACTTAGAATTTTCAAGAGACTTGTAACCCGGAGCTGGAGTAGCCAAGGACTCTCCCTGCAATCTCGCACTATACTTAGGTAAAGCATTCACTGAACATGAATAATTGTAAGTATTTGATTGAGAACGATGATAAATGATAACCAATACATTCTTCCAGAGTCAATTAGTGTTGGGGAAAATTGCAACGCCAACGCGCGATCTGGAAGCCTTTTAAGACGCACGGACACTACGGATGTATGGTAGAAAGAAAGTCTGTGCCGTGTTATAATAACACTACCTTAAAAGCGTTATTTGCCCGGTAACGGTGCAGTTAGAACCCTGGCACGCTTTCGACAGGCTACACAAACTAACTATGCTTAGTTCGCACCAACTATAGCGTAGGCGAACCTGACTTTGCTCAAACCCAAGAAAATAAACCTCATATAGAAGTGAAAGGTTTTTTTGGAAACCGTGTTCTATAAAAGAGGAAGGAAGGCTGCTTATATACTTATTAGTATAACAACCTCCCTCTTTCTAGCCACAACTCATAGCTAAATAAGGGGGAACGTGTGGTTATGTAATTACATGACCACAATTAATAAACAAAACATGGGCCACAATTCTAGCTTTAGAATGAACGTGTGGTGAAGTTCTAATACATTGAATGTATTTCCAACAATCCCCCACACATTCAAAGTAGAAGACTAGAAAGAAAGTAAAGTTTGAGCAATACAAACGAGTTGATCTTAATGTCAGTGTTTGAGAACTTGAACTGACATGTAGTGACACTGAGTAATTTTCTTCCCGGGAGTGATGTTAATCTTGAGCTCACCGGTTAGATAAATTTTGAACTCGAATGCACACACCAACTCAAAAAGCAGGTTCTACAAAAGTCAAACTCTTTGACTTCTTATGAACACCCTTAGTATTAAAGAGTGTTACGTCTGTCTCAAATATGGACTTCTACCCTGTCAAAGTCTATCACAAAACAGACTTTTAAATGCTCCCA